TATATTTTATTATACATTTATATGGACGTATATAAGAAATACATATGTATTTACTATTTACCACTGTCCTTGATAATTTATCGTGTCGAATTGCGACGTTAATTTTGTAAAATACTAGTTTATTTTTACATTTCAAAATATAATCATTAAACTCAATGTATGYGATGTAGAATAAAATAAATATCAAGGTTATAATTGAAGTTTTCCTTTGTTGTTTTAAATGTTGATTTACATATTTTTTTACAATCCAATAGTTAAAAACAAAAAAATGACCAGCGAATAAATAACTGCAAACTGCATTTCAGCAGTAAACTTAATTGTATTTAAGAAAGCAAACTGTGTTGTGTGTTAAATATTWCAGGTACAGGGGTTTTATTTAAAACTCAAATAATATTAATCATCTTAAAATAATCTTCCATGGTAATTTAAAATTATGTTTACGTTTACGATAACGATTTCGCTTACTGCAGTGTAAAACAAATAGTGTATGTGCTTTTACACAAAAAAWAAGTGCCATAATACGTATAACCCATATAATATTATGTATCGTCAAAATGTTTATCGGAGTATATTTAYTTGTTTATTTGCTATAAATTATAATTGATACCTTTGCCGTTCCGTTCATAAAACACATACCTATGTCTTATATATTTTCGACAACGGTAACGGTATGAAAAAAAAAAATGCTCAAATCACATCTATATATTACAATGCGTGCCTATACAATGCAAAAGTATGGATGACGTGTGATTTCAACAATTGGTATACTGCAGTGATGTTGATGATCGTACGTCTGACGCGGTGACGTCTGTATCCATATAATACTTGAGCTCTCTATAATAATATATGTAACACAATTTGTCGTACGCCTACAGAGTGTTATCATCATCATCATATGCCTGCCTGATGCACGCGTGTGCGTGAGACGAGCGGCGGGATTTCGGCAAAAATACAATGATCGTGGGTGACAGGTGTGAAAGAAAAAACAGAGAATAACATCGTTGAAAGAGAATAGAATCGGAGGAGGAGGAAAAGAAGAAGAAGAAGAAGAAGCCGCAGCTGTGTGTAGGATACGCGTATATATGCCGCTATAACCCATATGATATATACGTATAATAATAATAATAGGCCGCCGCCGCGTCAACGAGCGCAAAAAGGGACCGCGCGAGCTCAGCGTGTGAGCTCGTTAAATTAGCGTCGCCGTTTGGGAAACGATATATYTGCCACGTCCCATTGAGCCGGGTCGCCGCCGCTACACAGTATACACACGCAGCTACCACCTACCTATACGCGCGCGAAGGCCGCACGCAGAGGACACATACTCGCGCATGTTATATATATAATATTATTATTATTATTATGCACTCGCGAGTCCCTCGAGGCCTATAATATAATATAATAAACGCACGCGGTAAACATAGTATATACAGTTATTATTATTTATCATCATCATTGTGCGTTATATAAAGTCCGCRCTCGGAGGTTTCAGCCGCATCGTATATTCTTCTCACAACCCTTTCCGCGATTTTTTTTTTCATACACTCTATCGTCCTCAGCGTCGTCGTCACAGTACAAAAAATAATAATAATTACATTTCATCACACGATCGACGACGATATAATAATAAAAATAAAATAAAACGTATACGTATATCGTCGTCGACTTCCTACTGTTATACAGTAACTGCGGCTGTGATTGACGACGACGACGCCGCGTGCGTATTGTTAGCGGTGAAGTCATTTTTAAATTTCACTTGGATAAAATATAATGACGAAAAATTAATAGTAATACGTTTTTCTCTCAGGCTTTTACGACGACGTTTATAGAAACCGGTTGATTCATAAAATATAGTGCAAACAATTATCGTAGTGTATTATACATATTATGCATAGTTTCCTATATATGAATTTACACTGAAATCTACAGAAAGAATTAATACGTAGCCCGTATTAGAGTATTACAAGACGAACCACTATGTTTTATTTTGTATCTAACTATATTATTTTATGTATAGAGTCATAGAGATCATTAAGCCTACACAACAGATATGTGATATACAGGTAACCTGGTAATTTGTATCTTATATCGATACAATGCACAGAGATTTTGAGATAAATTCGGTTTTTTCTTATAATAACCGTGATTTCTAGTAATCTATATTATAATATCAAATAACCATGTCGTGATTTTTAAAAAGTTGTTTAATTTATGCTCACAAATAATACATTTAAAAAAATAATTGTATGTAAATATATTGTATGAGACAAAATTATATGGTGATTAGAGATAATATTGTTTTTTTGCTAAAAATAAAATAATAATAGGTTATTAAATATTACATAATACAATACATTAAATCCCCACAGGCCTCTGTTCAAATATAATATGTTGCAGTTGCAATGTTTAATTTTATACATCGTGTAACATACATATATATCTTACTTCTATAAATAATACCAGTGGCGCACAGTAGATTTTTCACAAGGGTGTCGAAAATATATATCTCGCGGTAAAATCTGAGTTTATACTCTTTATACAATTAATATTAAATTAAACAAATATTTATCAAAATAACATCCGAATTCACCCAGAACAAGTCACACTCACCCAGTCACCCACCAATTCTTTGAGGGGTGTCGGTCGACACCCCTGACCCCCCCCCCCAGAGTGCGCCACTGATTATAATACATCGTTRTAAAATTTACTTTATTAAAAATGTATAAGTATATCAATTAAATTCGATATTGTTTTCAAAATTATTATTAATCCAACAGGTAGTAGGAGGTGCCTACATTTTGTTACATATAGCTATATAGTCTTATAATATATTATTTTATGTACATTTTAAGAATTGAGTTTTATACAAGGAAAACAAGCAACATGTCATCATATAGCAATCTCGGTTGCATTACCTACACGGCTACACGGCTATATATATAATACATAAATACATCATAGACGCGCACCGGCAAAAGAGATGTCGGAGTTGACGACATTTGACAGACGCGTTACACGTACATACCCATATCTATATTACCTACATAAACTTGACGTGTCTAATATTTTTTTCTAATAAATTATTATATACCAGGTATATTTTTTTATTCGATATGGTGTCGTATAACGAGATATTGTCTTCCATCGTGTCGAAGGTAAATACAAAACCGCTACACCGCCGTACACAGGGTGGCCGGGACCCGTCAGGCGAAACCCAATACGTCTGATGTTTTTATTTTAATAAAATAATAATAATAATATAAAATAAAAAACATTTTCCTTTATGTGCGCGTATTTTTTCCGCCCGTTTTCCCTTTAATTATACACGGCAAGCTGGTTTTTGTACACGCACGGTTATTTTTCCATCCATGAGTGAACCAGTCACACGGAATCATGTCTTCAAACTGACACACACACGCGCATATAAAGACRTAGAAACACTACACTTCCTCGTGACTCGTTGGAAATGTTCTCTCTCAATATATGTATATACATATTTATCACTCGTAACTATAACTATCCTTGTTATTTTTATTTTCTTCGTATAATATATATTCCAAATTGTATAATTCACGCTTGCTGACCAAACTTTACTCAATCTTACGGAGTTTAGTTAATATATTGTGCATAAAAACCCACATAATAGATGTGTATACATTTAATAAAAAAGATCGTATTTTATTGCCTTTTCAACTCGTTCTGTATACCTAATACGTGTTTGCTGTTTATATATTACCTATGTAGGTACCTACAATATTACCTATATTGTTACCAACATTCTGTTATAATCATTAAGGACCCTACACGGAACGACGGAACGTTGGTGAGACGAGTAAGAAGCATGCGAGATTATTTACCTTTGTGTGCGAGATCGTCGTGATGGTTAGGCGGCCACGCTGATCCCGTACCGATCCCATGGTGGGCGGTCAACGATTGGTGATGGTGATGGTGGTGATGGTGGTGATGATGAGGCAGTAAGCCCGATTGTTCGGATCTTGTAATGCCTTGTAACATGCTTGAAGGAACTCTGGAACAGTTTATCGAAAACGTCGACATAAGCGGGATGTGAATAAGACAAAATAATTTCTACACGATGTAACGCATCAGTTATACACACATCAGTCAGCAGATATTTAACATACATAATATTATAGTATAGGTATGTGTGTGTTGTGTATATTGCACTAGTATATATATATATATAGCGTATAGCGATAGGATTAGACTTTCCGCCCGGAAGCCCGATAACGTGTTTGTCATATTATTATGCATAGTGGTACAAACCCGTAACCGCGGTAATACACAATATTTATACGCGAGTACGTATATGTACTTTACTACCACATTAAACAGCAGGTATTATTTAGTTTATGCGAAGGAACATCACGTCACAATAATTGTGGCTCGAAAGTTACAGAAAATAAAATCAAGAAAATGTGAATGCAAATTATGCACATACCAAACAAAATTAAAAATATTCGAAAACTAATTATTATAATACCTATACAGGTARTTTTATTTCAGCTTCTCTAGCCCATTTAGGGCCTTCACTGCTTCTACTATTTGACGCCATCTCAACACACTCTTCTAATTTTAATCAATCTATGCAGGTAGTTCCATAATAAATAATAATATATCTCTATATCAGTATATTGTCAACATATTATTTTTGTTTCAATTAGAAATAACTATAATATTGAGGAATAAACATCGCGGAAAATTAGTTATATCTTATATAATATTGGTACCCGTCATCGTTGTGGTATATAAATACCGTCAGGCCACAATAGCAATAAGAGTATACAGTTTTATTATGGTGGAAAATTAGAATTATTTTCTGTTTWGCACAAATCGTTAGAAAATGAAAATATTCACGTTAAATAATCAAATAAACAATATACATGATATTAAAAGAAAAACGGAATTTATTTATAGAAAATATTAAATATCTAAGCATGCAATTKTATAAAGACTAAAAATATGCAATATTTAAATTGTTGTTTTTAAACTCATCATTGTAATTTGTACTTATACACTTACAACGAAATTCTAAATTGGTCTGTTACATAAATCGAAAACAAATAAATATAATATGGAAAACTCCTACTTTATACTTCCGAGCTCTAATAACAATTGATAATTTCACTGAAAGTTGTTGACATCTAATAGTTAGTTAAAATTTGTTTTTACGCGTTATTAATAATGAAATACAAATTTAGATTAAATATATAAACTTTTTTAGTTATTTTAAAAATAGAATAGAAAAAATATATTATATGAAATTATAATATAGTTTATTGCATAGTGATAACCAATCTACATCCATAACCCAACATAATTTCTGTACTATTATTTAAAACTTATCAACAACTAAATTTATCGCAATACGCAATAGTAAATCAGTTCACACATTTTTAATAATCGAATAAAGTATTGTACATATAAGTACATTTTATGTAATAATTTGTATACTGATATAGTTACTAATATCAATATGCATGACTGGGCAGCAGCATTGAGTTCAAAGACTTCAAAACTTAACTTCAGTTTTAACTTAGTGATGTAAGTAAGATTTTTTTTCTTCTATGATATGTTTAGTTATTAATTGGACAGTTAGGTKATCTTATAATTTAGTGAAGTTAATTTTTTTCCTAATACATATATAATATGAACTTAATATATTTAAAACAAATTTAGTTTTGTACAAATTATTACTTTTATGGATAAAAAAATTTAAATTATCACAAATATGTATTATTTAAATAATGTTATATAGTCACATTTATCATAGATACTAAATTGTAGTAAGCCACTGTCGAATTGTTAAATGCACTTTCATTCTTAAATTTACTTTGAATGAAATTCAAATAAAATTTMACCAWAACATAAAGTAAACAAAGTATAAAATAACTAATTGTTCTCCTATTTTTATATATATTAGGTAGGCACATATATATTATACTTTAATCAAATATGTTTGTTGTGCTTTGCCATATAGATTGTATAAATATTCAGATAAAATGTAGGTTTATAAATGATTTTAAATCAAGTTAAGTTTTTTTATATCTCCGGAACTTTTGCAAGTTAAAAATAAAGGAAAATTACTTTTAACTTATAACTTAAATTTAACTAAATAAAAACTGCTCGAGTAGCTAAACGAATTAAAATGTATAGTCAACTTGCTCAGCCTTGGTATGATATGCAAATATATTGGTACTTATATGATATTCTTAACTTTCATTTTATCAAAACAATCGTCACATCAATTAAAGTTAACATAATATTTAATAATATTATAATGTAGAATGCGAGATGTTCCATGACGTTACCTATAGGTACTGCATAATCACTAAATACGTTCTGCATAATCACTAAATACGTTTTTTTATGGTGTGTGCGATTTTGTGTGTTTTAAATCAGTGTATAACGTCATAGATGCTTTTATGTATAATACACAGTGTGTTTTATCGCTTATACTTAGTTTCCGGAGCTAATTTGTTCTGGTGTATTTATATGAATAGTAATAATAATACTAACAATATACGTAATAATATAGCGAAAGCCACTCGAGGACCGCCATTTCTGCTGCTACGATATCATTTATATACACACATATTATACATGATATAATTCGACCACTTCGGAACCCCTCGAGCACACTTCAGCCGCAGGGTCGAAAAAGAAAATAATAATAATAATAACAGTATACATTCGAACAACATTATTAGCGTGTGTCGCGTTATATTCCTATACCTACACAAGTGGCGTGCGYATAAAAGGACTTGGGCCGTGCGTATCGTACCCATGTTATATTTGTATATAATATATATAAATAGGTTGTACAAACGATACATACGATGTGTATAAGTATATATTTATGTACTTATATCAACTCATTTTTCTCACATTTCAATATATATATATACACACATACATATGATGTATATAAAGATATAGATATGTACTATACGCATTTATGCGTTATGTACAGCACGCTCTCGAAATGGTAACGCGATACTTGCTATGGGGGCAGCTATATTAATGAAATATAATATAAAAACACACCCCCGCTTTAAAGAGTGATACACATTTAACCCTCGCGGACGATGACGCTAATTCTAATTGACTCCCTGTAGGTATATAATATAACATTTAACGATTTAACCACCTTCTTTATTGTTTGTTTAAACTATTTATTTTTATTTTTATTTTTATTATTGCTCTGCGCGATTGCTGTTTTTTTTTTAATTGCCTCTCTTTTCCTCACAGTTTTATTAAATTAAAAGATGAATAAAAAAAATAATAAATATTTTTACCTCTTTTTATCCTTTATCATACATAGGCATAATAATAGTTTTCTATATACAAAATATAACGTAAATAATTACTATAACATGCAAAGCGTAAAAGTTTTTTATAACGATAATTATAATAATAAGTATACGAATGCATGTATTACTTAACTGGTATCTACATCTTACAAATTATATAGTTGCGAGTATAAGAATATAGGTATTTATTTATTTATTCGTTTGTTTGTTTGTTTATTTATTTATTTACAAGCACCCTTTAGAAAAGTAATACGATATAATGGAGTATTTGAACTTACTCTAATAAGTAGTCAACTATTTGATGAATTTGCTATGATTATAAATTATTTAATAATAATAAAAGTATAGGTACTTTAGTATAAGAACAAATTATACAGCTATATTTGAGTAAATTAATATTTAACAAAATTTGTTTGTGGATTCAATTATTAATTTCTATTGTGAATTTTTAAATTATTACCTAAAGAGGTATTGAGGATCCGTATTTTTATAAAACCTAAATAGTTAGAATTCGTTCTMGCTCTAGTATAGGAATTCTTTGGATGTATAACTATCTATGTGTAAAATTGTACGGGTGTAACAAATAATTTTCATAAGTCATCGGCTCATCGATATAGCTCTAATATAGTATGTTAGATAAATTACTAGTATATATAACTGAAAAACTTCTTAATAATATTGTATAATATATTTATAGAGATTAATAATGGGAATAAAAATTTAAAAATAAAAGCAAAAAACAAAAAAATAAGATAAGTTTTACACGTACTTTGGCACGAGCCTAGGTTAATATGTTTAAGTGGAGTCATTTAGGTTGCCGGAGACCTAATAATTGATATATTTCGTGTGAGATAGTAAGTCGGGCTCGTAGTCCTGTCTATTCCCGATCAAATAGCAATAAWTGTAAGATCCCAGATGGTATTATAGGATATATGGGCATATATATCAGCATCCGCTAAGGAAGGCTATTCTTTTCACCAGAGATCAGATCAAAATTGTATATTTTTATTTTTAAATAAATAAACGATGTTGTACGTCATGTGAAAACACTACGGCCTCCATATGTGATGATGCACAAAAAAAAAGGGTTTCCGGCGACCTATACGCTATACGGAATTATTTTACAGGGGCCGCTTAGGCCGCCGGCGATTCAAACCTATCATTGTAATCAATTAACTATATTTTTTAATGGCTAAGAGATAGCCGAGATAGGTAAAGACTTCATAATGTTACCAAGATGTACATGAGAAAAAATAAACAAATCAATTCATTAACTTATAATGTAATATGATCAGAAACATAATATGAAAGATAAATTAATGGGTTTGAGGGACACGTAGACGGAAAAATATAAAAAGGAAATTTTCTGTATTTAGGTAATATGATGGTTGCCAAATCTGGCGTCATGGTTTTAAGACATGATTACCACGCCAATTGAACGCCGGCATTCTGACTATTTTAATTTTAAATTTGCATTATTCAGGTTTTTCCGATTATAACACTCATTTAAAACTACGATTGGACTCTCTTATCTATACACACGTAAATGTTAGAAAGAATTGCTTAGTTATTTATATACCATAACTCCACTATTACATATCATTATCCGTGTTGAGTCACCTGCAGTGGTTATCGAATGAAAAAATTAACATACAGCTGTATATAATATAATATGATACGCAAGAACTAGGTATACTACATTAAGAGTTGAATCAAATTAATTTAATAATAAAATTCAATAGTAACTATAATATTGCACTCTAATTCTGATGAATTATAATTTATATTAAATACCTATCGATGATATACTCTGTACTTGTATTTAACAATTACAATTTCAAAAATATAACTTTTGTTTATAAATTTAAGCACCAAATAAAGGGTTATAGTATTAAAATATAATCGCCAATCGGCAATTATATTGAGGAATAAAATAGGTATAAGCTCTATATTATATAATCATGTATATAGGTAGATAATTATATGGAATTTATAGTCGGTACCTACAAATTGTAATATCGTTTATTTTATAAATTATATTATGATTTGTGGATGAAGTAATAATTAATTACCATAAATAATAAGTAGGTAGGTAAGGAATTCATATTTGATGTGGTATAGGTAAATAATTATATATAACCAATGTAAAATGTGTATCTAGTATTCTAATATAGGTATATTAAATAATATATTTATCAGGAATTTAATTTAAGAAAACGTATGTTAATTCGCAACTCAACTTAGCCCTTCCCCCATTCCATAAGACCGCTTACAAAATATTTGATTGTATATCATATTCATCTGAATAATTGAGAAAGCTACGCGTGGGTATAATATAGTATATACCGTTTTATGACAATATAATATGAGCTACAATGGTTTACATGCTGTTGCAAAAGTAAGTATATATAGGTACATAATACATAATATAAGTTCCTATTTTCCTAGGTATTATTTATTTTATACATAGCATCATGCTGCAAAACAATTTTACTTGTATACATAAAATACATAATTAAGTACTTACACTTATATTATTATAACTACATATTTAATACAACCATAAATCTAGATAGCCATGGGTAGACTGTCGTTATATGAAATACAGGTAATAAGTGTATATATATATTTTATGCATAAGTGCGATTTGATTTATAACATAATGTCTCAGGTATGATATTAAAATTTATTACTTACATGTTGAAGTTAAAAAAAAAACAAACCCACGCACAGAACGACGTTATAATTCGATGTGATGAGTACCTATACTAATATAAAGGTTTGTTGTAAATTATATTTATTGGATTTCCACGTGTGGAGACTATGGTCAATTAAATTTAATCATCACTGCGGTGTAAATATATTACAATATTTGTATAAAAAATCGAAACCAAAAAACGAATTATTTACGTAACGCAAAAAAACTGTTCGATTTACGTGCGSGTGAATAATAACTATGATGAAAAATAAAAAGAAATAAAACCTGAATTAAGTATATTATATTAAATATCGCGTGTATAATAAATTATAACTACGTCGTCGCGTCGTACTGTCAGACGGGAGCCGCGAGCAGCGAGATTCGAGTGGCCGCGCGGTTCGGTAACGTGTGCGCCGCGATCGACGAAGACACCGTGTGTTCCCGGTTCCGCCGTTTGGTTTCCGCGCGCGCAGTGGTAGCRCGGCGTCGGACGTGGTGGTGGTGATCAGGAGGCGGAAGGGGATGCGAGGGATTAGCGTACGGCGGGTACCACCGCGGGATTCGGCGGCGGTTCGTGTGTAAAATATTTTTCGGGGTCGGTCGGAAAGCGGAGAAGGGTGGGACCGGAGCGCCGCCCGCCCGCCAATCGCGTGCCGGCGCCCAGATCGATATAGAACGCCGCGCTCATTCGTCCGGAAGATATGTTCCATCCGCCAGGCGCGACGCACAAGCGCGCGCACGCGTACGCGCTTGTTCGCTCCGCCGCCTCACCACTCGTCCGTACCACCATCGCCACAGCCGTCGCCACCGTCACCGCCGGTCGTACCCCGCGCCGATGGCATTATAATAATAATAATAATAATAATCATTTTTAACTCCACGACACCCTCTCCAACCCTCTCCCCGATAATGCCGCCGCTTTTTATCTCCCCGCCACCCGGTCCGATATCTAGCGACACCCAACCCGCCACACACACACACCCACCCTCACCCGCCGACCATCACCCTGCAGATCCGACGAAGTTATATACTTATATATCCCGCTCTGCCGTAACGTCCGTTTGTTTGCGTTTCGCGTGTACGTATGTATTTATTGTTGTTTTTTTTCTCTCACCTCTCTCGTTTACCACCGAC